TGTTTGAGGCACGATTTCATAGAAATCTGTCACATTGCTGCAAACTTTATCCCTAGGACAAAAACTAGCTATGAAATTAAGGGGTTTGGTCATGAAATTTTTGGATTCAAGTAGTTCAGGTCCTGTACTCGGATGCTGGCCTAGGATTAAAACCCGTTTTGCAGCCACTTCTCTGCACCTTCCCTGCCCGTTCCAGCCCTTGTCTTGTCCATTATTGTTACAAGTACTCTGAGGCAAGGACTGTCTCAGAATGGCTGTCTCTGCCCGTGTTTCTAATTGCCTCTGGAGCAGATGATGGAAACTAGTCCTTCCTTGCCTGGATGAATCACCCAGTCAAGGTCTGTTCCCTGCATGGAAGATGCATTGTTTGGGAGAGGAGGATTCTTGTCACTTTGAATGCTCTGGTGGCTCAGAAGGGAGCAGAGGGGTGGATGAACACTCGGGCATGCATGTCTGAAACCACAACAAACTCAGTGCCCCAGGGTTTGCTTTTATTGCAGAGCCATTATTAGCCATGTGCAAGAATTCTGTTGTACAATGTGGTTGTGACCACAAAGAGCCCTCCAAATAACAACAGTGTCACATTTGTGAGCAATGGACCATGTACAGGGCCACCATTAGCTCAAGGGGGTGGAGACTTACAGGGACCTACAAACTTAGGAGGTCTTGTACTCTCCTGACACCATATTCAGACTAAACACAGCATCAGTAATAATGTTTCTTTTACTTGCTTCAGGATGTCTGGAATTGCTGCCTTCAGCTAATCTGTGATGGAGGCATGGGGTGTGTGTGTGTGTGGAACAGGACAAGGGGCAGCTCTGTGCTTTAAAGGGGTTTCACTCTGTCACCTTCAGCAGGGATGAAAGGCTCTGGGTCCTGCTGCCCTCTCTGTGTACATATGGTAATAAAAATATTTACCCTTTGGGTAGTGTTGGGGTTTTAACTTTCACTGCAAAGCCAGGTGACTGCTGTATATTGCACTGGGTGGATCCATATGGGTTCCTGACAGTGAATTCAGCAGTGGCTGTGGAGCACGTGTGCTCTAGGACAGACACAACTGTCCCTCCTGCTGTTTGCCTGCTCAAAGTGGCTGGGCTGAGAGTGGCACCCCTTATGCCAGGTTGTGTTGCTTCACTTCTCCAGGCTCCAGCTTCCACTGCTGCTGGGAGTCGGTCAGAAAAGAAGACAAAGTTTCCAACCTATCTTGACTCTTTGTCTTCACAAACATCGGTGAAATACTTCAGATTGGGTAGGCACAATTCTAACATGCTCAGGGTTTTTATGCTGACACAGAGCTCTGCTAAATCAGAAGGAATCACTCCAAAGTTGGCAGGAGTGGAATCAAGCCCTGGAATCACATCACTTCCTTCCACCCCCAGAAATACTCACTGACCTCCTCTTTTCCCCTCCCATCCAGCAGTAGCAATATAAAACTAAGGAAAACAGCAGCAGCAGCTGCTCCTCCGAGCCCAGTCCTGATGTGGCCCAGAGGACATTTTTTCCTGTGTTGTGGTTTGCTGACTTTTCTCTTTGTCTTGTGTGTAATGGGAACGGGGCTCATGGAGCTGGGAGCATGCTCAAGGCAAGCGGCTTCTGTGGGGTTTTTCTTAACTTCACTTGGGCTGAATTCTGGTCCCAGTTGCATAGGGATAAACCTGGGGAAATTTTGCTACTTCTCTGGTCCCACTCCAGGTTTAGCCCAGTGAAAGCAGCAGCAGAAACAGGCTCTGAGATGCTTTCTGGAACATTCCAGCAGCCCACAGCAGCTGTTTATTGCTGTGTACTTTCCTTCACCATGAGAATTATGTCACCTCTGAGGGCTAAAGCCTCACCATCCTGCTTTGACTCTGAAAGGTGCACAGACAGCTGGTCAGCTATGGGTCACTGCCCACAGAGCTCCTGTGCTGCCCCACTGCTTTGCAGAGAGCATTAGGCTGGCTGGGCTTCCTAGCAGGAAAGTGCAGGCAGGAGGGGCAGGGCCCAGCAGGGTGGTGGCAGCCTTTGGTTGATGTGAGGGGCTGAACCAGGTATCTGATGGCTGAAGGCAGGAAATCTGAGTGTGAGCCTGCAAGATGCATCTGCCTGCAACACAGGCTTTCTTTTTCTTTTTTTGCAGACAGCCACAGTGATGTCATGGTGGCCCAACTGGTACAAACCTCCACAACAGGATGCATAAGAGTCCCTGTCTGTGTCACTTCCCCATCCATGGCTTGTCCCTGATGCTGATGAGTGTCTGTCACACCCCAGTGCTTTTTGTGCCCAGTGCTGGTCTTTGACAGGCTTCATTTCTTCTCCTGATCTAGTCGAGCCATGAAGGGCAACAAGTTAGTTTATGCTGATAATAACAGTGATTCTGCAGTGTGGAAGATAAGGTTCCAAAGGCAGTGAAACAGCTCAGGATGTTCAATAGTGTGGAGCAATTCTGTTTGTCAGTGGTGGATCTCATATTTGACAACTTCGTATATTATATATATATATATACACACAGACACAAAGTGGCAAATAAAAGTCCTTTAGACATAGCTTCACAAACAAGGATATTTAGAGGGATGCTTGGGTGAGAGGGAGGGGAAATCAGGTTCTTCTCTAAGCCAGGCCACTCCCAGTGGTGTTGATGAGGGCTTTGACATGACTGGCATTGATGGCATTTTGGTGCCACTTGCAGTGGGAGGTGATACCTGGGCTTGGAGGAGTGTGGAAAAGTGATTAAATGCTGACCACTTCCCTGGTACTCCCTCTATGGGATTTTGAAACTAACGTTTTCTTGTTAGTATTTTTGTCTGGCCTTGACTTTTCCCTGTTGGTAGATTGGGACACTTCTGACTCTTCCCAGCCAGTAAGCAACATGTGGGTGCAGAATTTCCCTTAGGGGTGAAGGGCACCCACTGCTGTGCTGAAGTAACTGTGCTCTGCAGGGCTGTAGCTCTGAGATGTAGAGCTGGGCACTCTGAGAGCCCAGTATGCTTCCTGTGAGGATTGATCCAGGACACAGACCTCCATGTCTTTTCAGGGATGGGCACCTACTGATTTATTACAGTCACTTCTCCTCCTGGCTTTCCAAGGGGAAAAAAAAAGAAAGAAAGAAGGGACAAAAAAGAAGTAATTCTGACAGTCCTAAGAAGGTACTGGAAATGTTGGTTTGTTGCAGTTTGAAAGAAAATTTGCTGCTACTTTTTTCTGGATTGCATCAGTGCCTCTGCAGCTGGCAGTAGAAATTTGATAGTTCACGTAAAATAGGTCAGTCTTTTCCAAGTAAGAAACTATGGTTATTCTGTGAGGGGAATTGACTTCATTGAAAATTTCAGGAGTTGAATTGAAGTCAGATGGCAAGCTGAGAATGAAATTGAAAGTGTCAGCTTCGGGGGCGGGGGGGAAAAGAATTTTAAAGAAGTTTGGGAGCTGCAGATGCATCTTGGATAGATTCAAGGAATCTTTGGCTTCATCATTTTTAGAGATTCAGCGAGGGACTTTAATGAAAATTCTGGAGAGCTTTAGGTGTTGATGGGGTTAATTTGGTAGTAGTGCCAGCACCTTTCATTGGTGCTGTTCACAAATTATAAACCTGTATATAAACCTTGTTGTGTAGCACATACAAACTGGGCACTGCAGAGGATCCAGAACTGTGATTTGAGAAGTCCCCAGTGTTTTGTTGCCCTTGCTGCCTGGAAATTTCTTCATTCTTTGTTAACTAGTTTGTTCTGTGAATGAATCACCGCTTCTCCAGAAGAGCAGCATGAAAGCACAGGGTTACACAAGCCAATTTATTCTAGCTTATGTACTTCAGGAGGCTCCCTTGGTCCTGTCCCTTTCTCTATCTCTTCTCCACTCCACCAACAGTGCTGCAGGGCAGGCAGTGCCATCCTGCATTGCACACGAGGGCTTCTGTGCCTGACATACAGGGGCAGGAGGAACTGCCATAAGATCACTTGGAAAGCCCATTTCTACTGGGCATTATAAAATGTAATTTTTTTCTCATGTTTACACAGAAAAATGCCTAACAGCAGTTAGAGGAATCCTACTGCTTTATAGTAGTTGAATTTCAGAAGGTTTTTTTTAGTTCTGCATCAACGCCCCTGTAATTTTGTGTGTGTGCCTTTGTTTCATTTATCTTTCTTTTTATCTGCCTGAGACACCTGATAGATGAGTTCAGCAAGCAAGGAAAGCAAATGGGTCATTCTTTCATAAACACCACAGTCCTAAGGAGGGCTTTAAAAACCATTGACTTTCATGTTTTGTAGCCTTTTTAATGTCTTGAAAGTGTATGGTAAATTCAGCATGGTATAAATTGATAATTTACTTTAGGGTTGCTGCGTGCAAGGCTCTGTTTGAGGTCTCAGTCCCATCAGACTCTGGGGGTCCTTGCTTAGACTTGGCAGAAAAAAGCCAGGGAGTGCCAGTCATGTAGTTTTATATAATGGAAGTGGCAGCAGGGATGTGTAAGTCTTCTGCATGGAACTTCAAGTTGTCCAAGTTTTCACAAGAAATCCATAATGGAGCCAGGGCTTGACTGCCCAGAACATTACTCCAGCAAATTAGGCAAGACTATGCTTTCTCTTTTGAAACAAACAGTAATTCATGGAAAAAATTCTCCCATGCATTCTGGGAGAATAGAAGATCAGTCAAAACTTTCTGTGTGGTGCAAGGGCAGAGCTGTGTTCTAGGAAAGCAAATAATCTGATAGCAGATAATTTAATGAAGTTAAATAAATCAATTAAACTAAAAGAAAATATTTATATTTTATGCTATAAAAGGAACAAAAGCAAATGGAAGGATTACTGAGTTTGTTTCAAAACTTTATGGTAAACCATTTCAGACCTCTTACTGCTTGTCTTGGAGTCAGTGGGTTTTGTCATCATGGGTCTTATTACAGCTTTCAACACAACCCTATATAATTTGTGTCCCTAACCACCTCTGGAGTAGGCCAGGCTTAAAATTCAAAGTTGAACAAGGAATTTCACTGCAAAGAAAGCTTCATGTAATCAGTTATGTTTTATATGCAGATCTGGAAGTGTCAAAAATCATTGGACTGAGATTTACTCCTTTGTGGAAAGCCTAGCTGAGAAATTCATAAGGTAAATTTTTTTTTAATGATCTTTAATTTCCTGTACATTATTTTTTTTTTTTTGTTTAGTGCTTATTAGCAAATGAATTTCTGCTGAGGTAATAATGAGTGTGACGTGGATCTGGCATGTTTTTCTCTTTCAGCCCAATGTTGCGGATGTCCTTCATTGTGTTCTCTTCACGGGGCACTACCATCATGAAACTGACAGAGAACAGGCAAGTTCCTCCCACTGCACTGCTCCAGGACCACCCTCTGTCCCTTCTCTCACCCAGCACGTGTCCCCACACCCAGAGTCTGGAGATCTGCCTTGGTCCTTGTGTGGTGCCAACTGAAACCCTCTCCTCCATTACCAGCTGGAGGAATGTTTAGAAGGCCTTGGGGTGTCCCATTTCAATTTTCTTTTCAGCTTTGTTAGAGGAAGGCAGCACTGGGCTGTTTGTTCTTTGCTGTGGTATTTCAGGGAGAAATTGCATTTCCAGTTGAGGATCCAGGTACATACTTGCTATCCCCAGCTACCCAAATAAGGACAGCTTTTGTGGAAGAGGTTTCAGACCCTGAACTGGTGAGCCAAGGAGTGTATGAGAGATCCCCAGTGCCCTTGGAAGGGACTCAAAGCCCTGACCTTTACACCAGGTTGTCCCCAGTGCTGGAGCAGGACCACACCAGGCTGTGGCACCCCTCTCCTGGACTGCCTGCAAACAGCACCTGTGCCAGAGGTGGTTTGCAAAGCCAAGTGACAGTCTTTGTAGGAGAAAAAGTGGAGAAAGATTCTGGTTGCCAGATTTATAACCAAATTTTCTTTCTTTAAAAAACAAATTAATAAAATCCCCCAAACCACCACTGAAAACACCCCCAACACAAAAACTCCCTCCCCTCAGAAAGTTATTTTTTTATTTCATTTTCTCTACACATACAAATCCCTGTCATTGGGGTGGTTTGAAGTATTTTCTTTCATTTCAGCTTACAGCCTTCACTTTTTCTGCTGCTGTCTGTGTGAGAGGGCCTCAGTAATATAGGGCACCCTATAAATAATGGGAGCTCTGGAGCAGGAAGAGCAACTACTCCCTCAACTTTGTGCTCCAGGGACTCATCCTAAGACAGATACCCTGCAGGGCTCTTGCTTTTCTGCTGGCTTTCCCTGAGCTTTGTCCATCATGTATCTTGGTGGCAGAGCTCAAACTTGCTTACTTTTCTCTGGGTGAATTTGCTCTCTGCAAGGTAGGAAGTTCAATATGTTGAACATGGTATTAGAGTGTTCTCTGTCCTTAAATCCTGTTCTCTGTATGGATCACAGTGTGCTGATGAGTCCCTGGTCTAGGATAGGAAATTCTCCTCATTCCCATCCTGTTCTCTTATCTTTTGGCCTCTTCTTTAAAATGGAAAAATCTTAATCCAGACTGTCCCGATGACTGATTCAATAGAATTTTAATTTGTCCCAAATTTGTGATAGGGTCATAATCTTTTAAACTCTGTTTTGTTCTCCAGTTTATTATAATTTAATATCTGGCATTGGCTTTAATTCAATCTTATCCTGGCTGAGAATATATGAGAAGGAGGGAGCAGGGACAGAATTCCATCTTTAAAATATGTTACCCTAATGCTGTACCCTGTGTCTGGTTTTGTGCCCCCATGGGTGTTTGGGTGATAAATTGTGGACTTTGAAAAAAATCTTGGTTCAGCCAGTGTTCCAGCTGATGTGTATGCACTCTGTGCAATTGATTGACAGGCTGCATAATCTAACTGTGGTACAGGAATATCTCAACAAAAGAAAAAAAAACTTCTAATAAAATGTTCTCCTGGGATTTTTTTTCTTTGTATTGTTTATTTGTGTTTGTTTTTTTTCAATCCAAAGGGAAGCCATAAGACGAGGGCTCGACATTCTTAAGGAAGAATTGCCTGGAGGAGACACGTTCATGCATGAAGGATTTAAAAGGGTACACATCACAGTACCTACTTTCTTTGTTTTACACCTAGAAACTTAGCTGCTGGTATTCTTATGAGCTAACCATGTTCTGCACTTCATTGCAGGCAAATGAGCAGATTTACCATGAGACCTATGGAGGTATGTGCTGTGCAGTGTTCATGTTAATGTCTGGATTATGGTTCTTTTTGTGACCTGCAGTAAACCCTCTGACAGAAGTACTGGAGAAGGAGGGCTATTATGCAACACCACATTCCATTTTGACTGCAGCCCTACTCCTAAATGGGTGATTCATGGTTTATTGAGATCAGAGAAGACCAGTATGATCCCAGATCTGGCCATTGCAGAATGCAGACCAAACCATAGCAGCCGGAGCTGCCGGTCTTGCACCCAGCAGACAGCAATTCCCACATTTTACTGGTCCTTTCTGTCCTGATGCACTCAGCCCTCTCTGCTTTGTGGTCCCATATCCTTGTTCTTACTAGTGCAGGTGTGAATGAGAGTTTTGCATCAGTGTGAATGATTTGTGGTCAGATTCTGAGTTGCTAAAATGTGCATTTTCACTAAATTTTGAGAGGAAAGTGTATTTGTGGTTTTTGTTTGTGTCAAAAGAAGACCTAGTTAGTTAACAAGACTTACTTAGTTCATACCCTGGTGTGAGGTTGTTCTCTTTTGTGGGCTCATGGTCTCTTAGGAAGATGGAGAAAGGGGTCAGTGCCTTTTTATTAAAATAGACTGCGAGTGTAGGAGCAGCAGCTCTGCACAGTGTTGCAGCATTTCTGCCAGTAAAATCAGGAGTCCCGAAGTGTCCAACTGAAAACAATTCTAATAGCTAAGAACTAATCAAGTATTCTGTAAATTGAATTAGGAAGGAAAAAGAGTAGATGAGATCTGGATCTGGAAGCTAAGCTACCTGAGAAGAAACAAGCATTGAAAAGAAAACAAAATAAGATCTCCAGTTTTTTAAGCATATTTCAAGGGTTCTGGGCACAAAACAAAAACAAAAAAAAAAAAGGAATCCAAGCTATTTTTTCCCCCAAGTTGCAGGTCATTTTTTAAGATTTATGTCTATGTCTGACATGGCATGGGAAGGACTGTGTGGCATAAGAAACCTGTCAGAACTAATCAGTCTGTAATTTCAGACAGTATGGAGAAAGACACTTGAAATTGTAACAGATTATTTTGAAAAGATAACAAATACTTGCCTGAAAGTAACATGCGTGTGTATTTGTTACTCTGCTTAAGAACTGTGGATCAGAATGGTTGGTTGAACCATAGTTTGAATATTAAGTTGGTTTAATTGTGTTAACTGGTTGCATTTTTTTAGGTAGCATTGTATTCTCTACTGCATTACATATATACATCTCTGCAGTCTATGCAACCTTTTCACTTAAGTTTAGATGGGATATGAAATGTATCACAATACATGATTTTTTCCCTAATGAACCTGATCTTAAGGTTTCCACATGCTCAGAATTCCATGAATTTCACCGGCAGTTCTTGTTGCTTGAGAACTGTAGGACTGACCTCCCTGTAGAAGCCCATTTCATTCCATGTTCAGTGGGGTTGCTCTTTCAGAGCCTGCTGGAGGGAAAGGTAGGATGGCAGGAAAGATCCTTTTGCAGAAGTACCTCTTACCAGAGTCTCTGGAAATGTTTATGTAGAGACAAGTTTGTCAAGAGAAGAGGGGAAACCTCTCCTTCTCTGCAAACCCATTTTGTCAGTTCTCCACGTGTCTGTAATCTTGGTAGCTGCTCTATTTTATTCAGAACAGAAAAGCTGGTGTGTGGGCCTGGTTAGAGCAGCACTTCCCCTGCAGTGATGCTGTGGTGTGAAGGTGCTCAGGTTTTGGCTCGTTGCAAGCCTTGCATCTGGCCTTCAGCTGGTGTCTCACCAAGTCCATGCAGACCAGGCTGAGAGTCTGGCTTAGGGCTTTGTGTTTATTTGTCAGTAGAAAGGATTGCCTCACTCCAGAGGTTTTTTCCATTGCTGAATCTTGTGCCATGTGTGTGCAAGCTGTTGTTGCCTGTCCCCCACGCAGGAGTTCGGACCGCCAGTGTGATCATTGCCCTGACGGACGGCGAGCTGCAAGACGCTCAGTTCTATTATGCAGAGCAAGAAGTAAGTCACTTCTGGCTTTATCCAAACTAATTTATGTCATCTGAAACTCCAGCACCTGTACACATTTACTGCTGACTCCACTGATTATACAGCTTTGCACTTAATGGCACTTCTTGGGTTTTTTAGGCCAACAGAGCCAGAAGCTTTGGAGCTACTGTTTATTGTGTTGGAGTGAAAGATTTCAATGAAACTCAGGTAACTTGCTTGTTTTCTCTTGTGTTTTTCTGTTACACTACTGCACAAGGAACAGCATCAGATGAAGGCATTTATTTAATCACTTGGGGCATAAATCATTTCGTGTCACTGTGATGTCTGTTAGCAAGTATGAAAGGGCCCAGTTTTGTTCACTGTAATTTTGTTTTCTTCATGATTTATGATTGTCTTTCTTTGCAGCTGTCAACGATTGCTGACAGCATCGATCATGTTTTTCCAGTTAAAGGAGGCTTTTATGCCCTAAGAGGAACCATTGATTCAGTAAGTTGGATGTTCTGAAACACAGTAAAGGGTGCCCTTCCCTGCATTAATAAAACATAAAATCGTTACCAAAAAATGCCCTTATCTAAATCTTTCAGATTCTGAAGAAGTCTTGCATTGAGATCCTGGCAGCTGAACCATCCAGTGTTTGTGCAGGAGGTAAGTTTCCACAAGAACTGTGTGTTAGGCAAATGAATGACACTGATGAAATGTCAGTAAGTACCTAATGTGGTACTGCAGCTGAAGCCTGTGGATGTGTTAGAGCATCCTCTCAGGCCATGGCTAAAGCCTTTCATGTTGCTCCTCATCTTGAGAAAAGCATTCTGACAATAAGCATGTAGCTGCTGTTGCTGAGTACCAGCTTTGAGAGCTGACAGAGGCACCAAAACTGAGCAATTGAGGATACCATTCTTTAAAAAAATCAGAGAGGGAGAGACAAGAAAAGTAGTGTAAATCCAGATTGACAGAGGTATTTCAGGGCCTAAAAGCAATATCTCACAAATTTCTGGAAAGATTGCATTCCTGGCATCTGCTGGGACTTGTCAGCAGTTAGAACAAGACTTTGCAAAACATTTACAGAAATTTAAGGTTTATTGAACCAAATACAATTTGCTGCATAGGCCAAGATACCTCTTGTGTTTTCCAAAATGCTAATGCTTTACTTATTTGAAAGAACCATTATTCTTTATGGTAAACATGAAGGATACCCAGAGGAGTTGTTGATAATTTCATGCCTTTCATGTCTAGTATTTAACTTGGATTTGTTCTGGTTTATGTTAGCAATTCTCTTGTTGGGTTTTTTCTACTTTAGAGGCTATTGCAGCAGAGTAAGAGTGACACCATAAGTTTGCTGGAAGGTACAGCTTTTCAGCATGGTTATTTAGCTCTAGTGTTAGTGTCTTGTGTTCATTTCCTTGTACAATGTAAAAAGGAGCACATAAAAAATGGCAATGATGCATGAAAGCTGACCTTGAAAACAGATAAAATGTGAAACTCAGGAAAAATTTAGTATCACAGAAGAGAAATTGTTCACTCTTCATTTCCACATGTCAATCTCAATATGATCATACCCTGAATATTTCAACTTAATATAAAACATCTTTGTGTCTCTTGAATTATTCCTAAGTATATTATTGTGGACTAGATGTAAAGTCTCATCTGTAGAAAATTTAAAGCAATGATTTTACTTTTAAAAATGTTGTGGAGTTGAGTAGGAAAAAACAGTTTTAAAGCTTTGACATTTAAAGCTTTTTATTTCATAATGATACTGTCATATTTTTGATTACTTATTGTATACATGACAATTTTTTGTGCAAAGCTTATTACAAGCCATCCTGTTCAACAAAAATGCTTTTAGCTACATAAAAATGTGAGTGTTCCAATAGGAGGGATTTTAGTATTCTTGAAACTGTTTGGGACAATGTTAAGAATTTGGGAAAGTTGAACTGGAAACAATGTTTTTCAAATGGAATGTTGAAAATATTTTTAAGGAATATTTGGGAAAATAAATTCTCAAGAAAAAAAATTCCAAAATTAATATATTTCAGCAAAAAGAGTAAATTTTTTTCCAAAGGATAATTTGTTTAAACTACTTCATTTTTGCTAAGCTTCCTAGGTAAAAAGTTTGACAAATGTGATTAAAATTCCACAAGTACGCTTTAAAAATAGTTTGCCCTAAAAAAAAAAAAAAACCTCAAATAATATTGTTACCTTACTTGCATCTTTCATCTGTAGAATTTTTCATTGTCTTTGTGGCTTTAAAACAAGACCAATATCAATTGGGGGGAATCAGTTTCTGGGTGGTGCTGCTGATTCAGCAAGGTATCAGTGCTTCTTTCACTTGAGTTCTAAGGTTTGCTCTGTCCCTGTTGGCCAAGCAAGGGCTGGCACATGGTGAAGCTTTGCTGCCCAATCTCCACGTGCTTGAAGGTTTTCTGGTAGCAGCAGGGATCTTGAAAAGGGGAGGAAGCCAAAGCTGCAGCTCCACATGATGTACACTATTTGTATACCATGGTATTTAAAGTATTAAATCCTTGAGCACTAAAAATCAGGCCTGCAATAGCATTTATCATTATCCCACAAGCCACAGCTGGAATTACCTCCTGCAAGAGGTTTTACAGCATGAGGCTACAAATATTTACATTTGTGCGTAGATTTATTATCCTTTATTATCCCACTTACTTCAACATAACTAGAGGTTCATCAACTAGAGGTGTAGATTTGTGCACCACTATCTCCTGGAAGGAATCTCCTGGGAATAAACAACTTTTTCATGGTAGTGTGAATCCAGATCTTGAGTTCAGTTCACTGGACAGCTGTAGTGCTACTCTATGTGTAATGTGGTTTATTTTTTTTATGTGCTTCATTTGGACTTTACTTCATAGGCTTCACTATTTTTTTGCATTAATGACAGAATTTTTATGCATTTTAAATTTAGGTTATTACTGATAATGTATTCTGTCAAGATCTATAGCCACTGAAACCTACATCAAGATATATATACATTTGCATGGTAGATGTACTCACTGGCTGAAAATTAGAACATAACACTTGCTAGAAATTCACCATTCCTCCTCATTTAGGTTAGGAGTGTTTGTTTGTTTAAATACATAATAGAAATTTTCATTTCAAAATTATGGTTGAAAAATAGTGGACCTTTGGAGAGAGTGCAATGTATTATCACACTTTCCAGCAAAGATACTTGTCTATTTACAGCCTTGAAATGTGTCTGTCCACACTTTTTGTATGAAACTTATCTGAGCAAGGAGGGGATAATTGGTTTAGCCTTTATTTAGCATTGCTAGTTATTTTTACAATTTTCTATGAGATTGTGAGGGTATTGTGTGGCTCAGTGGAAACAAGGGATGATCAGGGCTTAAAGCAGGGTCTGAGCCACTCCTTGTAAGTGTTCTCATAGTTACTACTGTGTTGGTGATTGCTGGTGATCTTGGCTTCATTTTTGACTTGCCAGAGGTTTAGTGAAATGCTAATGGAACAATTTGTATGTGTTGACAATTCCAGTTGGGACTCTGGCTTTCTGTGACAAAGCTATCTGGCAAATCCAGTTACAAACTGATCTCGTCATATGGTGACAGCTATCTGATGTTTAATGCTTTTTGACCCTGCAAATTCATCGTCCCCAATATGGAGCAGTGTAGTTGGGTCCTTCCTGCTCCCTCTGATTTAAAGTGACCAAGACATGCAGCCTGTAAACAGGCTATCAGTGCAGAATCGGAGGCGCCTCATATCCCCTTTGACAGCATCATTGCTTTGATTATGCTTATGGTACACAGACGTGATTGAAAGGTTTTGTTGGATGTGGCATCCTAGTGACCACATCAAGTACCAGGTGTGGATGCAAGCAGTCAGCTTCTCATCAGAGGCAGAGAAGCGGAGCCGACAGCCCAGCCAGTGCACACCAGCTCCAACCCAGCATCTCGCTGCCAGCGCTGCCCGGTGCTTTCAGTGCTGACCTTTTTCCCTTCGCTGTCTTGTCAAAAGCTGCAATCCATGATCTGACAGTAACTAAGGAGGAAAAGGACGCAGCCAGAGCCAGGGCGCAAAATTAAATGGAATTAGCCATTTCAACAGAGCATCACCCAGAACATGCTAATGCTCCAGAGCAACTGAGGTACCAGCTGTTTACGTTTCCCTGGTATATTTTCAGCTTGTCTTGCTGGACAGGTTACTACCCAATCACTTGTTCACAACTGACTGCAGTTGTGCAATTGTGCAGAGTGGCAGTCACAGTGAAAAGAACGGCAGGAGAGGTAAATTATCCTGACAACACTAAACTTCTAGATGTAGCTTTTACCTTGGGTGTCTTGTGTTGAAATTTTCTTACTTGAGGCATCTTTTTAAAGCCACTGAAGCAGCTACCGGTTAAGCTTTTGTGATTGCTGCCTTTTAAGGCCATTAATTCATGAGAAGGGGAAGAAAAATCTAAGTGCAATTTTGTTTCAGCAAACTTCTTTAAAAATATAAAATTGAGATGGGGAAAAAACTATCATCTTGGCTGGGTGTTCAAGCCCCTGTGAAGTGGGCTGGTCACAAGCAAGTCTGCCAGTGTGGGGTCCCAGGCAGGTAGTTCTGGTGGGTGGGCAGAGGCCCAGTTGCCCTCAGGGCTGGTCATGACTCTCAGCTCTGCTGGCAAAAAAGGGGATGCTCATAATTCTCAGTATAGCAGCTGGGTTGGATGTGGAATGGCTCAAGGCACAAATCTGACTAAGAGTAACTTGAGATTCTTGTTGGAGTAAGAAGCAGATGAATCTACCCTACAGTACATTTTCATTTGTTTAAAGAAATGCTCATTACCCCCAGTGAGAACCAGGATGTAAAACTCTTCCCGCTAAAAAAAGACCTAATTCTGATGCTGGATTTGTGTATTTGGCTCTTGGTGTGCTCATTGAGATCTCAAATTTTATCATTTTTCTTTAACAAGTTACCTAAGCACGTGTTTTATTTCAAAATGCATTCCAGTAGACACTTTCTCCTCCCAAAATACCTTCTTGATTCCCACGTGGCTTTTGTCAGTTCAGAGCCCTGCTCTAGAGCAAGTTACCACGATGAAAACCAGAGTGTGGATTTCCAGTGCCTGATTGTAATTTGTCAATGCCCCAGTCCCATTCACCTGGACTTGCGTTAGATCTCGATACAGTGATAATGGCAATGAGCGAGAGTGTTTCTGACAGAAACAAGCTATTTGTACAGAAAAGTAGAGAATTCCACGTCCTTGTGCTAGCTTGCCTTGCAGTAGCTTGATAAGAAGTGCAGGCAGATGAGGCTGTGAATGTATTGCAGCCACCTTTGGGCCTCATGTAGTATGTTCCAATAACAAGTCCTTCCTCCAAAGCACACAAATGACATGGTAGTGCCTTGGAATGTTGCTAAAAGCCAAATATTATATCACTAAAAATCATGTACAGCTCCCCTCAATCCTACCAACATTGTTTTGTTCTCCTTTTTAGTATGTTCATCAAAATATAAATGATGATGCATGTAGACCTGTTCATGGTTTTACTCGCTACGTGGCGTACAATGTAATTTATTCATGTTTTTCAATGTGAAGCTTGAGGACTAATTATTCCTGTGTTGTGCTGTTATACCCCTTACGTTGGGCTGATCTCAAATGCCGCTCAGAGGCTGGTGTGAGAGCCCTGTGGAGGATTTGGTTGAAGTAGGAAATTCATGTGTGAAAGTGCAACTTGAGTGCTTTGTGCCCTTACTTAGTGCCAGGAATCTCAGCTGTCAGCTGGCTGCTGCTCTGCAGCGTCAAAGGGAGTTTCAAAAGCGTGCTGGGGACAGAACAAATTTGTAACGTGTCTCTCCACCTGCCTGCAATAAAGGTCTTATCTCTGTGGTCAGTGTAGCAGCCACAATGGCTTTTTTGTGTCCTAGAGGGAAGTTTCCCTGGCCATGTCCCTTCCTGGTGCATCTTGTGCCTAGTTTGGCAATTCAGGCTCACCCTAGCAGAAAGGGGACTGTGGCTGTGTGTTTGGCTTCACCTGTGCACTGTAAAGGGAGGGAAGAATAGCAAACTGTTGTGTTGTTAGAGCTTTGAGTCACAGGAGGTTTGGGAGTGGAGTTCTCTCTGTCAGCATCTTCCTGAGCAGAGAGAGCTCTGCTGAAAGTCTGGTGCCATCTGCCATGAGGATTAGGAGCAAGGAAGGACTGATACAGGTGGTTAGCAAAGGTCCCAAAAGCCATGGAGGAGCCATGAGATGACATCAGTCAAGTCAGACTTAGTTTTGCTGTGGCACTTTTAAAGTATTACAGTTGTGTGTTACACTTGTGGAAGCTGACTTGAGACAAAGAGAAGACTCTGAAGCACTAATGCCACTGCAGCACTCTTGGACATTGCTGCTGAATAGAGGCAGTGTCTGTGGGGATGTTTTGTTTCAGGCACAGGGCAGAGAACAGCAACTGTCATGTTTTAATTTGGGTCACTCTGAACAGAAAAGCTGTATTTGAGTTATTTCTCATAAATAAATTATAAATCTTCTATATTTTTGCTTACAGAATCCTTTCAAGTTGTGGTGAGAGGCAACGGCTTTTATCATGCGAGAAATATTGACCAGGTGCTCTGCAGCTTCAAGCTCAATGACAGCCTTACTATCAGTAAGTGTGCAGGCTGGAGGACTGCAGTGACCCCTGTGGCTGTGTCACCTTGCAGGCTATGGGCCAGTTCTCGTCCATGTTAAGGGGAGTCCTTGCAGCAGATGTGAGAGGGAGCTGGGGTAGAGGTGTGCACTTAAAAGGAGCTTGAAATTCATCCTTGTTCCATGCAGTGACCTGTGGGCATTGGGTAGTGAGCACTTACATGGGACATGGGGCTGTACAGTGACCTTAGCACTGTTGCAGTGATCCATGTGGGTGCTGCATGCAGCAAGAGAGGACTGGGGATCAGGTTTTAAGATGGAAGCTCCTATTCCCTTGTCCATCTGCAGTAAAAAGAAATATTGCTATCTTGATCCCCTGGTGGTGCTTTCAGAGTTTTTAGTCACCAGTTCAGGAGACAATTGCCATAAAGCCAGGCCTCCCAGGCACACTCTGCTCCTCTCTGACACCAGTTGCTGGTCCCATCACAGTGACTGTAACATGGAAACCCCCTGTCACTGTTGTGCTGAACAGGGTCTTTTGTTTGCTGTCTCAGCAACCAGGCAAAGGACTGAATGGCCAAAAAAAGGTGGAGTGCCCAGTTTCTCGGTAGTCCTCTCTCATTCCTGAGAAGCTGTGTGTGTTGGGCAGAGTGAAATATGGTGTGGAGGGAGGACCTCTGCTCCTATTTCGTATATGCTGCCCTTGTGGCCTGAGCACAGTAGAGGCTTTCATATGCTGTCGTGGCCAGACTGGTGCCTTCCCAAGCAGTGAATTAAGTTACAAGAGGGAACACATGAATTGCTCCTTCATTTCCCATCCCAGTTGTCTATGTTGATGCTGCAGTCAAACAGCTCTGGTGGTCTTGCATTTATTCCGCTTACAGATATGCTTTAACCGGGATTTGTTTTTTGTGGTTTATCAGTTAGACAGACTCTTTGCTTTTTCTGCCCTGATCCCAATCATTAGCAGCTTGACTGGGCTTCACACAGAGTGCTCACCTGGGCCTGGAAATAGTCAGGAGGAAAGTTACTCTGATTCCATTCCAAATCCATGCTGTTTTCCTTGGGTTAAATCTGCAACAGATGTTGTGATGAGATACTGATCTGTGATGCCTTTTTTTCCCTCCCTAAAACATATCACTGATTTCCATTCCCTTATCTCTGCATGGAAGGGAAATGAGTTCTGTCTTCAGGTGTGCTTGAAGTGGGTGAAGCATGAAGGAGCAATTCTTACATCTATTGTTGCTTGAGCTAATTTTTTTCCTACATAAAGAGTAAACAAGCCTCAAGAGTATAAATACGATGGCAGCCTTTATCAGCCCTTTATTCCCTTGGGTAGACCACTCTTTCTCCAGGCTGGCAGCACAGCTGTTTGCTGGCCATTCAGAGCTAAGCTGCAGTCACTGGAGTGGTGTGTCTGCCCTTGTGCCTCAGCTTACACACTTTTGGTGGAGTGGCAGTGCAGGATTACTGCTGGGCCTCCTGTCTGTATTCACAGGACTTGGCTTTCTGGATGTGACTTTTGCAAGTGTCAGGATTACCACTGCTGGATCTTGGAGCAGTGGAATGCTTCCTCCTTAGGTGGGAAGATGTGTGCCCTTGTGTTTGACCCTGCCTGCACCAAACCCTTATAACCATACATGGGCTGTTTACAGGTGATGCTGCCACACAGGGGATGGGTCCAGAAGCAGCAGCTCGTGCAGAGCACATCCTCATTATAACATCAGTCACGGACCCTCTCTGCCTGTTTCCTGTAAATGACCAACCATCTCTTGGGTTTGGTCCCCCCCCACACCAGTATTTTTCCATTTCAGCTCCACCCCATCCCTCTCCTTCCTTTTTCTTAGGCTCAGACAATGGGATTCTTTTCTTGTGTGCATTTGAACATAGGTAGACAAAAATTGAACACTAAAATTTTGAGCCCTTGGGTAACTTGAGGACTATTCAGTGTGAGTAGAGGTTGCACATAATTTTCAGATAGACATGATAAATAGTGCTCAAAGCTGAATTCCAAATGGCTGATCACTGCTCTCAGGAAGAGAGATAAATGTCCAATTCTTAGCTGTGGTATCTCTGGCCTGATAGCATCATGTTGGCATAAACATGAATGGTTATTCTAGTACTTGGATTTGTAATCAGCACCATTGGGGAGTATTGGTACTTGCCAATATATTGAGTTCATCTGTGGCTGTCGTTGGTGTCAGCACTTCCCAAGGGGGTGGTCTGCTTGAAACAGTTTAATTTTTTCATCCCTGAGAGTTATCTCCATTTCCTTTCAGATGAAAAGCCAACCTATGTTCATGATACATACTTGCTTTGCCCTGCCCCAGTGATAGAAGATGCTGGACAGTGAGTATTGCATTCCAGCATGTGTTGAGAAGGTGGACTTCTGGGTGAAGATGTCATAAATTTGTGTGTGTGCGTGTCATATTGCAGCCATCTCCTTTGTGCCAAATCCTTTCCTAATATGAGCCAACATAGCTCTATTCAGTGTTGGGTCTTCAGCACAGTTTAACCAAAAGTCTTCTTGGACCATGGCCTCACATCATAGAATCACAGAATGGTGATTCCTCCTCTCTTCCTATATCCTGTTGTTTCAGACCAAAGACTGTTTCAAGACAGTTCATTACGTTCAGGACAATTGCATTTAATTTTGATGGAAAGGAGATGCTTGCTTTGAATATCTTTGTTGTTATTGCATATGTTGCTTCCTGTATTTTGCTCTGCTGTGTCTAGTGTTGATATTTTTCAGCCTTTTTAATTCTGTAGACTTCTGGGAGACATGGCACAATGTCCTACCTACCTTTTCCCTAAGTGATCTTGTGGGTGCTTAAATGCTCTACTGGGGCTATGGGTGAATGCTTCCCTTGCCTTTTGTATTTGTAGGTGAAGGAAATTAATTTGGTGGGGTTTAGTAAGTTTTTTTTATTATTACTTTAATTTTTTTCTCTGATATTGGAGAACGGCTAGGGAAGATTCTTCTTGAATTTCACTGGCATTTCAGGGTTTTTACGCTTTTTGATCTCAGTGCAGGTGTTCTGGATTTGCTTGGAAACAAAAGAACACACTCTGATTCATTGACAGAAGGGTTTCTTTAAATAAATAAAAAAGTCTTAAAGTTTCTTGAGCTATGTTCAGTAGTATTGCTATTGTCTGAGGCATTCTGTTATGACTCAGTGTCCTGGTGCTCTTTGCCCCAGGTGGGATGGGGGTTTTTTAATAAAAAGCATATGTCCCAGCTCAACTAAGGTAACATAAAAAGGTTGGCTCCTGGGTGAGCAGGGAGGCAAATGCAGGTAAGTGCCTGAGGCCATGAAAATGCCCAGACTCAACAGGACCCACAATCTATGCAGGCTCATAAGCCAGTGGTTAAAACAGAAACAGAATAAAGGTAACAATGGGTGTAATGATGACACTAAAAATAAACATATCTGTTTTGTGCTCTAGGGTGGTTTTCCTACAAGTCAGCATGAACAACGGGCTAACGTTCATCTCCAGCTCTGTCAGCATCACCAGCACACATTGTGTGAGTAACTCCAATGGGCCTTGACAGAGGAACCATGAGACCCTGGAAAGAAATGGTTGTTCTCCAGGCAAAGCCTCCTTGAGTGAGCCTGACCTGAGCCTGCTACTGACTGATCCCAGCAGCTCTTGGGAAAATCACCAGGGCTGCTTAAGGTCAAATTGTTATGGATGGTGGAGAGATCATAATAGATTTTCTGAGTAAAAAATTAGAGTAAGAGGCACCCTGCCCATTCCTACCTCAGGAGAAAGATCCTCAAAACTAGGATCTTAACAGAAGGAGACCTGAGAAAATGATCACAGGAGCATCAGAGAGCAACACTGTTGAGCCTTGGGGTCCCTGAGGGGATTTAGGGTAAAAGGCACAACTATTTGGACTACTATCTGGAAAGGCCACAGAGAGAAAGGACAGTGATGCCTGTCCTGCATCATGTGGTCAAAAAGACCTGGTAGAGTGTCAGGGGCAAACAGCTAGAAGTGATCCTTTATCAAAATCTGATTTTTAGAATAAAATAAACAAAACTAGGAAACTGACTAATAGATACAGAGTTGTCTTTCTTGCCTTGGGGTAAAAATAGGCAGTGCTGATAGCTGGTGTGAGCAAGTACAGTAATTAAATATGTGACCTTGTGCTTGTGGTCTAAATCAAGTTGGCTGAAGTACCTGATAGCAGTTTGTATCATTGTTATTAGTGTCAAAAGGACTTTTATAGCCTATGCCAAATGCTGTCATATTGGTTTGTAATCATTGTTAGCCATTTTGACAGCTGGAGAACAGGAGGGCAGGAATGCAGATAGAGGCGACTGGAACTTGTAAATCTAATTTTCTGATGTTTGCAGCAATGAGGGTGGGAAATATCACACCAGAGTGCTGAACAGCCTGGGTTGTAGGGACACAATACAGCAGAGATGTGTTTGTTTCTTTATGGGATTATTTCTATTTTGCTAAAACTTTCTTCCAAATTTTCCATACTGAGGACTGATATTTTCACATTTCATTCCACTCTTTTACCTCAGGTACCATAAAACCTTTCAAGTCTGCAGTGAAACACAAGTGTTAACTGATGCATTTAGTTACCCATATGTAATTTATTTCTGATGAAGACTGAAGTGTCAACCCTAACCAGGGTAGGGTTCCTAAAGGCCAGAGCATGGGTGGAGGAAGCTTTTCCTTTTGGTAGCCTGAGGATAAAAAGAGGAATCCAGTCTTCAGTCATGTCAATCTGACAGTTTTTGACCAGCCTCTTGCAGATTGAATGTGAAGGAGGCAGGAAGCCTGATTTGCAGCTGATAGAAAAATACTGTCTCACTCCTGTTCTGTCCTATATGCAGCTAGGTTGGCAGTTCAGTTTCCAACTTTGTCTTAATTTCATGCATTTCACTCTTCTCGTTTTAGAGACTCCCTCCATTTCCTTTCCCCTCCTGTTTCCTTTTCTGTGGGTGGCAGTCAGCTGGCCTGCTCAGCTCTCCTCCCCAGCTGGTCCTTCTGTCTTTTCTGTACAGTAAGTATCTTCACTATAATCCAAAAGCCTCTGTGTGATCCCCGTGCTTATTTCTGTTCAGCTGCATGAAGTCTGCTATTTTCTTTTCAAAGTCCAGCTTCACTATGGAGCTTTGTATCATTAAAATCATTAAAAGAAGACTCTTTAGCTTCTTGCTGCCAGCAGCTCCTGAGCTACTGCTGGCAAATGTCTCAGCAATTTATATGTGCAGTTAGCACAGGAAAAGCAATGTCTGGAAACAAAGGCTACAAAACAAGGAGGTAATGTGTGTTTGGAGTAATAGTAGCAGTGGTACTGCATTGCTACTGTGCTTGGATTTGTTTTTAAGGAGTGCAGCAATATTTCTTAAAGTTATGCTTGATTTTTACTCACCCTTTTCTCAGCAAACTGGCTTTATTGAGAATTCATTTCTCTTTGAGTATCTGCTTTCCAGATGCATTAGTTGTACATGGGGCCATGGGAGGGACAGAGAGGGGGGCTTAGCGCTGAACTGCAGCTGGGTACTGTGTCCTCTAACAGGACTTGTTTGAGCAGGGAGTTTGGCACATTTTTGGGCTATCCAGCTGCTCCCTGGCCAAATGAAGGGGCGGCAAACAGCATATCCTAACACAGGTGGGTTTGTTGCATTGTTAATGAAAAGCCACAGAGCAGAGTAGGAATGGCAATGCTGTGACTCAGATGTGGGATACTGGGTTACCTGTTTAAAAGCATGGAGTAGGAGCTGTGTTTGTGTTAGTCCCATATTGAATGTGTCAGTCCTGGCAGCTCTAGGAATTGGCCTCAGAGAGAACTGGGTACCACCTAAGTCAGGCATTCAGGATCTCACCCAGACTTTGCAAAGCTCTTACCAGCTGGTGCTTTCCACCCTCAGCCTTTTCATTGTCCGAGGAAAAAAACAAATGCACTTAGAATAGTGAAGGAAATCCCTGTTGTAAGAAGGGGCTAAGCATCAGCTTCTGGTGTCATGGAAATTCAGCAAGTTTCAGTATAATAAGGTGAATCTCATGGACTTTATCACGTAGAAATCACTTTTGGAATTTGGCTTTTTTTCCCATTATCCTTCCACCTATCCTTTGAAAATCTCTTACAGCTTCCTCTCTAGCCAATTCCTCCTTCCTCAGCCTGATTGACAGACCTTTCTTCAAGCTCCTTCCACATCTTCCTAGCCCCAGGCTTTCCTCTAGTTTCCTGCTAAATTTTTCCTGTTCCCTGAGATCTCTGTTGCTGGTGAATTGAACCTCTTCTCACATTTTGGAAGTCTACCATTGAAGAGGTTTCATTTCCCAATGTATATTAAAAAAAAAATGGCTTAAACATCAGAGCTCAAGTTAATATCATTTCAGAACCCAGTACAGTCCAAGGATAGGGCATCTGAGACCTTGTAGTGTGGAAAGCTGACTCTAAGTGTGTAACTTCAGGACTCCTGCCTTCTTTGAGACATATAAAGGTAACTCAGAAATAATCATCTTGTTTGCAGCTGACTGGGACCATCCTTTTCATTGCTCTTCTGATTCTCTTTCTGCTGCTGGCTCTGGCTCTTCTGTGGTGGTTTTGGCCCCTTTGCTGCACAGTGGTAAGTACAGTCTTTTTATTCTATTGACTTGATTTCATCTATTCTCTGCCAAAGCACAGTTAAAGTGTTGGGGTGGGTGGTTAACCTTGCTTTAAAAAACTGCCACATTTGTAAAGCCCTGATTCAACAATTTGCTTAAAGTGCATGTTGAAGTTACTCTTGTCTGGGTTTTTGATTGTTTCAAGGCCTATGTGACTTTTAATTGAATGAGAATTTTAAATGAGCTCATGGATGTGACTTAAGTTTCTGTAGGGATCAAGACCTCCTTCAGACCAGCTTTGAAACCTGCTGCATAAAAGTGTAATGGAATTGATTTACTGATGTGTGCACAAGCTGTTAGGGTCCTCTAAAGACAAGAGTTAGGGGTTTTTTTGCATTTTGTTGGTTGAGGTTTCTTAATTTATTCAGAGGAGCTGCAGATTCTAAAATAATATCTTTGCACTAACTTGGTAATTATATGGTATTTTTCATCTCATCTGGTCTCATTTTCTGTGGGGCTAATGAAAGGATTGAATGGGGAGGGATGAAGCAGAGTGACTCATTTGTGACACGGGCAAGAAAGCAGGGAGGACATAGTATTGAGAAGGATGAACCCTACTGTTGTCTCAGATTTCTCCATTGTTTGTTTATTGCAGGTGATCAAGGAGCCACCTCCACCACCACCTCCAGAGCCTGTAAGTGTGCTATTTCTGAGCTGTGGCACTGCTGCAGCCACTGTAGTGTGCCATGCTGCCCAGGAATGTCAGCCCTGTAGGTGTCCTAATGACACCCTGAAGGCTGTGAGAGGAAGTGCTCTGGGTCAGGACAGTTATTTCTGCCTCCTGGCCTCTTTATAGACATACAGCAAAACTGCTTCCATCCAGGGTGAAAACAGTTTCATAGCTCAAAAATCCACAGGCCAGCAGTTCCTACGGTATTTTGTTCCTTCTGCTGTGCATCAAACAGGTGTGTAAGCAAATCTCTGCTTCTCAAGCTGTGCTGACAGCTGTCCCTCCTCCAGTAAACTGCTGCCATTGTTCTTAGCAGGAGTTTAGCCCAGACTGGTAGTAAGGAACAGTCTGGCAGCTGGAAAAAAGGACAGCAAAGGCCACATTCTTGTGGCTTTGCTGCAGGAGGGGAGACAAAGCCTGCCCTGGCTGTGGCTCTTCTGCAGAGTGACCTTTGGAAGGACATTTAGCCTTTCTCCATTTAGGTTTTGAGTTGTGTGAGGCAGGATTGTGTTTAGCTCTTTTGGGGACAGTCACTCACTGACCCTGACCTCAGTTTAGTTTCACCATACTAGTTCCATGAAAATAATAGTAGCAAATAAAAGCACCTCCAGAGAAAACCTATGCCTGCCTTTATTTTTTTCCTAGGCAGAGACAATGAAATAATGGAAAAATACTTGCCTAACCCACAAGAGAAGCTTATAGTTTACTGTTAACTTACTGTAACTTGGCATGAGTGTAGGGAGGCAACCACAGCTGCTGTTTTGAGGCTGCTAGAGGCAACCACTAGCGTGTATGTGATCCTGCTACTTGTCCTGAGCAGCAGCACTGTGACAATTTAACTTCAGAATGCACACCAGAATTCATGCTGGGGTTAGTGCTATCACAAAGCCTGCAGCTGCAGCCATGCTGCATTTGAAGGAGGTTTCAGAGACCACCACAGCCCTGCAGAAATTCCAGATGCTTTGCAATTTTAAATGCAGTCAAATAGAATGAACTGATGTAAGCCTCTAGGAACAACACAGAATACAGATGTTTTCCATCCCTTTTCTTGGCCTTGTCTTTATCCAGCATGAGTTACAATAATCATGCATTGTAATAATTGTAACTGAGTGATGAATTTCATTTCATTTAGTATTTATTAGGCTCTCTAGGTATGGTGACCTGCCTGCCCTGCAGCTGACACAGTGCAGTATTGCTACTGTTAAACTGAATATAGGTGTGTAAAAATAGTTCTAAAGCACAAGCATTAGATTTCCATGTGATAGCTGTTAATGTTGCTTTGCTGTGTGTTCAGTGTAGGGGATTTGGTATAAATCCCTTATCAATTGGAAAAGTATCAGCTGTTACTGTTGGCTCTGTCCTGCTAGAATCAGGCTTGCCAGCAGTAAGAGCTGTTAGACATGAGCATTTCAAATCTGTGTTACATTGCATGGAAGAGGCAGAGTATCATAAATAGATATCATGTTCACAGTGAAATCAAATATTAAAACACTGATGCAGTTGACTGGGTACTGGTTTAGATTGGCATGAAATGGGATAAAATTTGTGTATTTGTTGTACTCTCAACAAAAAAAGCTTACTGAAACAACACCAAACCCAACACAAACCACAATACCTTCATTGTATATTTATTTTCTTAATTTAGGATAAAACAAAATAACATGAACAAAAAAAAAAAAAGGTAAAACAAACACCAAAAAGCCAAACCACAATAATAAAAACCCCAAACTCAAACTCCCCTTACTTGTTAATGCAAATGTCAGCTCTGGTCTTGCCAGGCCATACAAAATAATTTGTTGGAGGAACTGACCTATTGAACTGTAGCTGAGAGGTCACTGAAAAACCTTTCCCCAAGGCATAATCTAAGAGGTAAATACAAACAAACAAAAACTAAAGCATGGTTTCTAAAAGATGTTATTGTCTTTTGGGCTCTTAATTCCTTTTCCATTCCAATAGAAACATGTAGGGCAATTTTGTGAAAATGCTATCTAGTGATATAACAGTAATTTATATCTCTCTATAGTATTTGGCTTTTTAGTTAAATTTTGGGGGTTTTTAAAGTAAAAAATAAGTTCAGGTAGTGTTTCTAGAAGCATACTTGTACTGAGGAACAGTAGAAGAGAGCACTGTGCATGGCCAGTCCAAGAATAGCATGCATGTCTGCATGTAATCATGAGGTACAGTTATTTGAGGAATGAAGGAATTATTGTAGGAGGTTTGTTGTGCCCTCTCCTCAGCTATGTGTGTACTTGGAGAGTGTTAGGCTGGGACCTTCAGGTATCTTGACTTGGTGTAATGATATGGAGTCTGAGAAATCCCAGTCACATCTCTTGGCTCAAGATGATAGAGCTAGAGATGTGTTCCCAGGCTTGTTGAACCAGGACCATTTGCCAGCTTTTAGTTAGGCAAGAACAGAAAAATGAACCTGAAGTTAATTCCTGATTCAGACTCTCGCATGTTCCAGAAAAAGAATCTTTATGTCTTTATGATTGCTCTGGTTCTGATCTCCCTAACAACTGTGAGATGCTCCTGTATGAATCCTTTTTCAAATTGTACAACTTGAGCCAGACTCCACAAAGCATCAAATAGTGTAGAATTACTGGTTACAGCTGCCATGAGGAAACGGTCAGATGCACATGTTAGAAAACTCAACAGTGGTCACTTTTTTTTCCTCTGTTAGGTGACATTAAGTTCTAAAAGTGCAATTAAGAAATTATTTCTCTGGGCTAGCTCATCACTGCATTTTCTGCATAGCACACTGGCAAGCCAGTATATGTACAATTCATCTATACTTTGCCTTTCCGTACAAATCAGTGGAGATTTTGGAGCTCAATGCATATTTGAGTAAATAAAAGTGGCCTGGACAGAGGAATAGGCAATCCTGTCTGGCTTCCCTAGTTAAAATTGCAGCTGCAGAGACAAGAGGCTTTCTTGGGTTTTGTCAGCAAATAAGCACAATATACAAAGTCAGATATCCAAGGACTGGACCATAGGATGTTCAGCTGTTTTCCACAGTTTGTTTTTTATGTGAGAGCAGCATTAATATCTCCCTGTGTTTCCCACAGGACTCAGATGATGAAGATGGATTGCCAAAGAAGAAGTGGCCAACCGTGGATGCATCTTATTATGGAGGCCGAGGTGTTGGTGGGATTAAGAGGATGGAGGTATTTGGCTTATTCTTTTGTGTTATAAACCCCAGCACATTTAATTGAAAACTGTTCCACTGTGTTTTCATGTGATTCTTGAAGAGGACCGGAGTCCAGGATTTAATCAGGGCTTGTGTACCTAATTCACACCTGCTGTCCAAGTAACAGGCAGCAAGCTGCTATCATTTGCATGAATAATTAAATTAATCTAGCATTAAGAGACAGAGAAAATTTGCAGGTTTAGAAATGAGATAATCACCAAAAGAAGTTTTAATCTCATGAGTCAGTGCAGTTTGGTGCAATTGCAACCAATTCTCTTGTCAGAGGAAATTCAGGCAAAGCTACTCTGGTTTTATATTTGAGGGTGCTGTCTGTGCAGTGCCTGGTTTCTGTGGAAGGGAAGGCTTCTCAGCAACTTCCTGTAGGACTGCAGATGAAGTATTGCATCTTAATATCCTTAACCATTTTCCTTGGAAGAATCTTATCATTGATGCTGAGAATGTATGCTGACTGACACCACGGATCATACATTGTTCTTGAATGTAGAGTCACCTTTCTGTTTGAGCTAAGTCAGACAACAAAACCACATATTAAGATATTAGATATTGGGAAAAATTTCTTCACTGAAAAGGTGATTAGGAGTTGGAGCAGGCTGTCTGGGGAAGTGATGTAATCACCATCCCTGGAAGTGTTGAAAAGATGTGTGGATATGGCACTTGAGATGTGGTTTAGTGGTGCTGGGTTAACTCAGTCATCTTAGAGCTCCTACCAACCTTGATGATTCTCACCTGCCCCAGATGCTGTGAATTCCCACAACGCCTTAGATTGCTGACATGTGAAAAGGCTGGTAGTTCCAGCAGTTTTTGAATGAGACTGTTTTATTCTTAAGTGTGTATTTCTGATTATGGTAGGAGTTTGGTGCTTTCATAAATTTGACTTGATTCTGGTAGCACTTGGTGATCTGATGGGAACTAGATTAATACCTGTGGGAACCACCTTCTGGTGGGGACTGCTGAAGTGTCTCCTTACAGTGTGCTCTCCTGACATCAGGTACGATGGGGAGACAAGGGGTCAACGGAGGAAGGAGCAAAATTGGAGAAACCCAAAAATGCTATTATTAAGTTGCCAGAACAGGAGTATGAGCCATGGGAACCCAAGCCAAAGAAGCCCCATGTGAGAAAACCACCTTCCCAGCGAAAATGGTACACTCCAATCAAGGTAATGTGTCTGAGCCTCCATTTTAGCAGTCTCTTGTGTCACGTAAGATCCTGTATCCCACTTTCTTAGCACAGCCTTTCTTTCAGCAGAGCTGAGAGAGCCTATTTAGAAAAGTGGCCATTAATTCTCACCTTTGCCTGGTTTTGGAATGTGTATTTCACTTGGCACTGTGTTGCCATAATTTTTTGAGAAGAGTAGAGGGCCCAAGCAGAGATCTTCCTTTCCTCAGCTCACACTGTCTTTTCAGGTTCTCTTGCCTGGGCTGCCACAGCAGATCTCTTGAACCCTAGGGAGGGCAGATGCTGTTTTCTGCCATCTCAAGGCAGCATAGAAGAGGATCAGATAAAGGGCACTGTCCTTGCTTTGACTGCATTGTGGCTAAGGGCTTGGGTTGGGATGCAGATCTGTTTCCCCTTAGTTCAACCACAAGATAGTGTTTGGTTTTTGGGCAAGTCACTCAGTCTCCCCATATTTTCATCCTCAATTCTCCCATGTCATTATAATATCTGGTGTTTCAATGTCTTTTAATGTATGTATCCTCACACAACCCTAAAGACAGGGAAGAGCTGTAACCTCTGCTTGCAGAGAAGGAAGCTGGAGGGCTAGCACAGTCAAGGCTGCAGCATACCCTGCTCATCCCAGGAATCTATGGCCATGTCCCAAAACAGTGCTTTGTGGGATGAGTTCCCCCTTCCCCTGCTTACTCACAGATCAATTAAACAGTGCTTGAATGTTTCTGGAAAGCATCTGTGAGTTTTAAAGCCTGCCTGGGCAGGTATTCTTCTGGCTGTTTATCCATGCTTCAGTTCTCTTCCCATCTGTACTGTACTCTTGTTCTGCCTTTTGTAACACTTAGATGAGTGCTTTAAAGTAACACCTGTCTAATTGTGCCTCTTTAAGGGAGTTGTTCACATTAATCTACTCTCATCTTCACTACATATTTGGTATTGCCCCACTGGGGTTCTTCTGGTTGTCCAGATAAAGTGTACAGGACCAGTGTGTGTGCAGACAGATTAATGCAGAAAAGCTGTACCGACCCATCTGTTGTTGAATCTCATGCTATTTTTACCACATTTCTTGGTCATATCTTGTCTCCTTTTTTTTAATTGCAGGGTAAACTTGATGCACTGTGGGCTTTGGTTCGACGAGGCTATGACCAAGTCTCTCTTATGAGACCACAGCCAGGGGATAAGGTAAGGCATCTCAAATGCACTGGCATCACTCCTCTGGAAGTAGCAGCAATGCTCTTCTCTCACAATCAGCCTATCTCTTTTATTTTCGTAAGCTTGTCTCTTTTCACAATGCCCTAAAGCTAAAAACTAAACATTTTTAATGTTTCTTGGATTTAATAATGGAGTTCAATGATTATTGCAAAATCATAAACTGTACAGATGATGAATAAACAAATCATAGCAAGGTTAATGGAGAACAAGTTGGTTGAATTGTGTGCAGACACATTTCTCAGTCATCTCCTACACATAGGCAAGGAGTATGTCCTGCCTTGGTGAAGTCTATTGCCCAAAAGTAGGTCAGGAGTAGACTCCTCCTGGGAGGCAGCGGGGAGTTTGTGCTTTTCAGAGCCACAGAGATGTCTGTGTACTGTCCCTGGGTCACTGGCAATAGCTTGGTTCAGAGCTCTCACAGTTTGTGTGAGCCTGGCACTGTTATGGTTATCTCTATTTTGTTATTCTGAGGGGACAACTCCCTAAGAATTGAGTGCTGCTGCTTTAAGCTGTTTTACCATCAAGGTTTTGCTTTCTGCAAATGGTTCTGTGTAACATGAGAGCTAAGCAGACACAACAGCATCTCTCTCTCCCCCGTGGGCAGAGTCCATACATTTCATCACCCTGGCTCTCAGGTGAGGGGATTATAGAGTTACAGCAATAGGGTTCATAAAGTGCTTTTTTGGGGATAGGACTGGTGCAGATGCCCAGGCTTGTTTGCCTGGGTAGTTTTCACACCTAATGACAGACTTTAAAAGTAGCTCTAATTTGCATCAGCTAGGGCAGTAAGTTGCATGTCTCATGCTTTTGACAAAATATTATGCCATTTGTCTAGTCATTAACCAAACATGCTGCATCAGTATTTAAAGTTTAATCTCATCCATTTTAATTTTGGCACATAAAGAAACCAAGAGAACAAACCCAGCTTCTCATACTACTTTTTAAAATGGTCTTAAATGTTTCACTAACCTGCATTTTCAAGGCAGCTGCGCTTGAGACACCTTATTTACTTTTTAAGCACGATCTAGAGCTTCTGAATAGGCTCTTTAGGTCCAGCTGTATTTTGATAGCACTAACATTGTATAATATGAATCTGTCCTCTGCCTTTCACTCCCTTGGCTGGGACATTTCTATCAGTGCAGAGCACAACAGAGCCTCTGTTAGCCAGCATGGTCAAGAAACGTGCAGGGGGCTGGCTCAGAACAGGGATCCTCAGTTCCTGGCCTTCCAGCTCTGCTGTGGGGAGAACAAGGGGCTGAAAAGAGGCAATGTAAAACATCAAGCTGAAGGATTATTGTATCAGGGATAACATAAGAAAAATCAAATGTACATCTGGGAAATAGGGTGGAAAGGATCCTATTGAGCCAGATCCAGTGGAATCATAGAATCATCTCTGTTCTCTGGCCTGTGAAATTAACTAAGGCTGAAGAATATTGAAAGTGAAACAAGAATACAACTAGACAGCTATCTGCTGTTTAAAAAAAAATATCACAGGCCTGTATTTCATGGAAAGAACCTAGCACAGAAAGGAACAAGTTTATTATTTATTCTTTGAGTAACATCTCTAGTAGCAGTCTCTCAGTGGATAACTGACTCCTTGTAAGCTGGGTTTTTGCTGGGGGATGTGTATAAATCCACCTGTACGTGCAGGTCAGTAAATGTGAGCACACACACAGGTGCACACTCATCATGGTGGGTGAAGAGCTGGGAGGGAGCATGGGCAGCACAGAGCTCTGGCAGCCCCAGGAGCAAGGGCACAGCTCTGCCCCAGCCCAGGCAGGACGAGGTGACTCCTTGGCCAGCTGTGCTGGCAGCAGGCAGGGCATTTATTGTGGAGCTGGGGCGATGGTGTTCTTCCAGGCTCTGCCATCCACAGGCCAAGGAGTCTAGGGTGATCTTGGAGTGAGAGGTTGCTTTGGCTTGTGTGGTTTTGAGGGATTGGGGTGAGGGAACAGGGGAAAGAGTTCTTGGTGGGGTCTAAGTGCACCCTTTTTTTAATTTTAAGGTCATTTCATAGCTGTCCATCCATCTAGTTTTCTCCCTTCATCATGGTCCTGTTGCCATTCCCCATCCTGCTCTTTTCCTTACCTGTGCCCTGCTTGGTCTCCTGCCCTAGACATTGCCTTCCATTTCCTTCTGTGGTTTCTTCCTGGTTTTCTCTCTCAGTTCATGTCTGCATGCCCTTTCCCTTGATGAGACAGGCTGATTCCCTGCACTCCTGTCTTTGGGAGCAGTGGTTGGTCCCCAGGTTAGCCCTGTCCTCTCACACTGCAGGACCTGAGCTGCTGGTAGCATCGTGCTCTGGGCTGTGGCCTTGCTGCAGAGCTGAAGCTCTGAGAGTTCCCTTGCCCTGGCTCATGTCTTCCATGAACTTATCAAGAAATGGATCTCAGGATGGATGATTCATCAGTATTAGGCAGGATTGTACTAATAGAACTGTATTAATCCTAGTGAAAATCACAGTAGCTTTTTGGAACTGCCTATTTAGAGAAAACCATGCGGGCACAAGCTCTGGTGCTCCTTCTCCTGTGTGCCCACAGTGTTTTGCTTGGCTCTTACAGACAGCTCCTCCTCTTGGTCTCTTTTCAAGAGTGTATCATTCATATCATAGCACCAGCACTGAAATGTTTTAGTTTGGCAAGTTCCTCAGTAAAGGGTCACAGGATCCCTCTCACTTGACTTCCTCAGGTCACCTCTAGCAGGAATTTCTGTTGCACCAGGATGGGACAACAAGGGATAAACACACTTAGCTCTACCCCATCATTAGCAGCTAGGCTGTTATTTGTGGCATGGAGTTTTGCTGAGCTCTCAGACAGCATCAGCAGAGGAGAGAAGCGATAAAAAAGGACTTGTGGCTCTGTGGTGGGTTGCTGGGCCTTCTGCCTTGCTGGGATGTACAAAGGTGAAGCCTTTATAGGCATTTGTGCTGCTGCCACAGTGGTGGATCCCTTAGAGCTAGGCTTTCTTCCCACCCTTGCTCAGAAATCTGTGTCTTACAGGACCAGCAGTCACTCTTCTGGCCCAAGAAAGGGACTGACAGCTCTGAGGTGGGGACACTGCTCATCCAGCCACAGGAGTATCTCACTGTCCACATGGCCAGATTGGGCTCTGTTTTGTTCAAGGTGTTCAGATTTTCTTGAAGACTTTCCCATCACTGTGTTGGTGATGTGTGTCCTCCTGAGCTTGGTTCTGAGCTTGCAGCAGCTGCTGTGAAGGTTGGAGTTTGGGAAATATTAATCTGGCTATCTTGAAATATTTCATACAAACAAACCCCAGTAGCTGGCAGGGCAGGTTGTCAATACCCTGTGTAGAGGGTGAGTTTCAAGCTTTGCCTTGGCCTCATGGTTCAGAAGGGGAGTATTCCCAATGGCAGCAGGTAAACACTGAAAGCCCCAGAGTAGGCATAGAGGAAGGGGAGGTGCTTTCCAATGGTCTGTTAGTTGCTGCTTTCAGCAATTCCATTCCAGTTTGCCTCTCAGCATGTACTGATTGATGCAGGAAATTCTTAGAGGCTCGGTTTACCAAAGTCCTTGACTAAAAACCCAACATTTTTCCCCTCAGGCAGAATTGATCATTTACTTTAAAGACTTAAAATGTGATCTCATTATTTTCACTGAAAATTTTGTAGCTGCAACAGGGAGTGTAGACTGGATTTTGCAGTCACCGTCCCCTTGTATACCCCTGGGACTTTACTTAGTAAAAAGCAATGCCTTAGTGGTACTACCCTGTGGTTGGTATGTGTAAAGCCCTTTCCTGGGGAACAGGACTAGAAGCAGGCTGCTGTGCAGCCAAGTATGTCACAAACTATGAGCTGCTTGTCATTTTAGAAACCAGAACTTCTGGGTCCTTTCAAGTTCTCACCCTTGAGTTATGGTGTGACTTGGAACATGGCAGAGAAGCTGGAACTTTAAACAGCAGCCTTTGAAATTAGGAATATGTGGGTTCCTTATTCTGTGCATCCCTTTCAGAGTGATCACTCTTAGTCTGATAGGTTTGTTAAAGCTCAGAAGGTCTGATTACCCTCAAATTTTGTGTGATTACTTGTAACGCTGACCATGACATTTATGTGCCTTAGTTTTCCTAACAACAAAAATAATCATGAGAACACAGATTTACCTTCCTTACAGCTGTGAGGTTTAGTGTTCTGCCAGGCATTTGGGACACCAAGCTTATGGATTATTAATGACTAATAATTACTCTCTGGCTGCTACTTACAGGTGGTCAGCAGCCCACAGAGATGGCAGCACCCACCTGTCATGCCACGCTGGCTGCCCACGTGCTGCTGCTATTTGCAGCTTATTCCAATTACTTCTCTTCCAGACCCAGTCATGGCTTTTAATAGGCTTCCCTGCCTCTTGCTTGGAGATGTGTTGTAATCACCCGTGCAACAACTGGCAGAGCCACAGGGGGGGCTGGAAAGGCAGCACCAAGCTCCTGCAGACTGTAGTTATCAGTGGCTGCTGCCTGGTCCTGGGGCTTTCCTCCCTTTGCTTTTCACCTTTATAAGCTGCTGAAAAATTAAAGAGATGAGGACATTGCCTGCCACAGTAGGTGATCTCACTTTGTCACTTTTAATGAAAATGTGACACATTTAGCTCCCATTTTGCTACTTTTTCTTTTTTTAAAGGACGTAGGCATCTCTAATATTTATTCCTGCTTTAGCAGACATGGCATGGGGGACAAAAGCTCCCTTTCTGTGGTGTGGGACCAATGTCCTAATGCACAGTTCCCAGGACATGTTGAGAGCTGCAGCTGGAAACATGTAATCAGTGACTAATGAATTTCCTGTCCTACAAGAAGCTCATATACTGCATTACCCCTCACTTGTGCCAGGACTGTGTTATTCCTGTTGTGGAAGAGGAATTCACAGACTTTGGGGATGGATGCTGCCTGTCTGCACCCAGGTCATACCAGCAGTCTGTCCATGTCTTTGGCAGCCAGAGGCATGCTCAGGAGCAAGAGGCTCTTGT